TTTAGAAGAGTGTAAGAGCAAACGTGAACGAATCGAGTTTAACAAGAACTTGTCCAAGATAGGGTCAAGCACCTAGTATCAATCGGACGAAACCTAACCCGTTCAACCTATAACAAACAAATAACAATAATTTATTGTAATACTTTCACATATTATATTCATCCATAGCTATTTGGGTTTAAGGGACATAGGGATGAGCTTAACGTGTGGGCTTTAGATCATAATGTCTGTCACTGAGTCAAGTGTAACACTATTATAGTGATAACAGAGATCTGTTTCGTAAATATATAAATTAGTTAAAATAGCTAAGTCTCTAACCCAATATCAACCAAAGTCTTCGACATTGAAAACACGAATAATTTGTCAATTTAAATCAACATTGATGTTGTGATCTTACCGGGAAAATATGAGCTTCTGATATCCAATATTTAAGACAAAATAAACGTTTTACCATTGGTTCACGAATCGTGTACCATAATGCGTTTCAGAGCCATTTGTAATAAGGGACTCTAAGAACAAGTCTAGACATATTCAACAAGTCATGTCAAACGGTGACGTTATATTCTTAACTGGAGAGCATGCGCAATAAATACTATCAGTGTAGACTGGAATAACCAGACGCTAGAGATTGCCATTCGATTGAGACTTCTGGCGTATTTTGCCGAACATAACTGATTAGAAATTACAGTAAAAAAAGAAACGATTGAATGTAAATCAGTTTATATACATTCATATTACATTATTATATGCGTTGCGACCCATTTGAGTTAATTTCTAGGTCCCAAATATTAGCGATTTAGCCCCTTTAAATCAGGAACATAAATATACAACAGCTACATGAATACAACAGTAACATAAATTAAACAGGAACTAAACTACACCAGGAAACAATAACATTAACACGGTACATTAATAGACATCCATTCCTCCCGTCTGCAACGGCAGCGGCTGAACTCGGGTGAGTCCATACTCCCCTCTCTGCTCCTCTGACCACGTCTCTACCCAACCATCCCCCCCCCTCACTACTGAAATTACAGGGTTTTATATACCCTCGTATAGCTGTGACAAAGTGCAAAATTTTCTATTTTATAAAATACGAACTATTATTTAGATTCTGTGAACTTATTGACCCCAGCTGGTTTTGATAATAGATGATATCGACTTTTCAACTCTGTTACGCCACGAACTGGCTATCGTCTAATTAAACATGAAATTAATCCCATATGTCATTTACAAACTACATATGATCTGTGTACAAGCTCCACATGACTTCAAAGGCATGCCCACTGGTCAGTAAGCATACCATGACGTGATAAAGAGACAATTGCATGTCTGATCATGAGTCTTATCCATTGTAGGACGCTATATAACCAGAGAGACGAGCGGGAGGAGAAGAGAGGCTTGGACAAGTGCATGTACTCACCCGAGTTCAGCCGCTGCCTTGGAAGAGGGGCGGAATGGTGGATTTAATATAGTTATGCACCGTTCTGATGTGTTCCCATCGTAGTCTAGTTTCTGTTTAATATATGTTCCTGTTGTAGTTATGTAGCTGTTTTATATACCTGATGTAAATAAATCATATATTTACTAAACTGATATCTGTTATCACTAAGATAGTGTTACATAGCTGACTATGCAAATTTATTTACTATTAAGTCCGTAATTACAAACGTGTATATATGTAGTGGACAGTATATTTTATATCGTAGATCAATAACGTATGAGGCGCTTCGGCCTTTAGCTGGCTGGTCACCTCGGGCTTTCGGTTGTGGTTTCGATCCCTGGTGTGAGAGTATGTGGCCTAATGATTGTGGCGCCTTCTCAACCTGGAAGCGGACTTTAAACACTAAGAACAACAACAGCTACATTTGAAACCGCGACACAGGATAGATTCTGTATTCTGGATGGTTTGGCTACATTTGAAGCATTTTAAACCGGACTTAGGTCGACTTTTCAAATAGTTGTTAGTGTGCTAATGTCGCGCAAATCAAAAACGCAAACCCGTGTATACTCGGAACTGATGACGATTGCACTGAACAGATAAAATTGTAAAAACATTGATTCTTCTGTCATGCTCTAGATCATAAGCTCTGTCCTGGAGCCAAGTGATGCTGTATCTCTCACACAAATTTTAGAATTACATGTAGTTGTTTAATTACATGTAGTTGTGATTTTTAAAGGATCAAATTTTAAATCGTAAGCTTTACCCATTAAGTCTGCAGTTGCACATGTTCTTTTTACATTCTATAGTTTGTGTATCAAAAAATGTGATTCTATGTAGGTCTACAATTACTTGTGGTAAACAATTTAAGTGTTAAGTATATGGTATGTTATATACCTTTCCAAATTTCATAACAAAAATATTATTTTGCTCAATTTTCGATTGCAATAAGCTTTTAATACAGAAAGCCTAATACTGTTATGCTATTCAAAATCACATTTCCCATTTTACTGATAGGCCTTAATCCGACCAATAAAATATTTACTGACGCACTGTCACTAATTTTAAACCATTCAGTAATTCAAAATAATTTTAATTTACTCTGTCATTATCTAGTAATAGTATGCTGTATGGTAAACTTCAGTTTTCATGACAGATAATTCCATAAGTACACAGTATAAACTAAATTTTCTATTACTAAATAATCAGTTGACAAAAAAATCACAAAAATAAAAGTAACTCTGAACACAGATCAGAGCTTATGATCTAGAGCATGACAGAAGAATCAATGTTTTTACAATTTTATCTGTTCAGTGCAATCGTCATCAGTTCCGAGTATACACGGGTGCCCCGTTTTTGATTTGCGCGACATTAGCACACTAACAACTATTTGAAAAGTCGACCTAAGTCCGGTTTAAAATGCTTCAAATGTAGCCAAACCATCCAGAATACAGACTCTATCCTGTGTCGCGGTTTCAAATGTAGCTGTTGTTGTTCTTAGTGTTTAACGTCCGCTTCCAGGTTGAGAAGGCGCCACAATCATCAAGCCACATACTCTCACACCAGGGATCGAAACCACAACCGAAAGCCCGAGGTGACCAGCCAGCTAAAGGCCGAAGCGCGACACTCTAGACCACTAGGCCATCCCAACCCACCACCAAATGTAGCCAAATCATCCAGTATATATGCTGCGTTAACACCTGGACTAGCCCACCCCACGAAAGTGAATTTCAATTTCTCCCTTACGCCGCCCCCCCCCACCACACACACACTGTTAATTCAACACATAGCAGACGAAAGTTGAATCTCTTGCTGGGAGTATCCGTTCAAAAATGGTTTCTCCTGACCATTCAGTAATTACAAAGTTATGTTGAATTGAAAATTTGTCAATATTCGACATGTTAAAAAATCAGCAATTAAATGGGGTTTTGTATCTTAATGAAGAACGCCATACGTCACAGAGTGTGCTATGTGGGAAATACAAATAGTAGATTGTTGGAAACAAACACACTAAACAGACCGGTCCGGGATATTCAGCCATTACCCCCTCCCTTGTCAGTGGTTCGGATGGTACGAAAAAAAACAAGTTTATCAATAGTAGCTCATTAAAGATGCCCTGAAAATATATACAACTATATCGCCAAGAGGTTGGACAGGCGACCCTACCCCTTGTTACGTACAACCGGAGGGGATCACGTGGCTAAGTGGGTAAGACGCTGGCTCGCTAGCCTGGAGGTCGGGTGTTCGATCCCTGCATTGGCCGAGAAAGTTCATCCAGATTTTCCGGCGTGGTTCCCCCTTGTCAGTGATGCAGGACGGAGGGCCTGACAAGGACAGCTGTCTAGTCCTTCGGATGAGGCGAAAACCGAGGTCCCGTGTATACATTGGAATGCACGTAAAAGATCCCTTGGCAGTTGGAATTCGATATAAGAGTAGGCGATGATGCCGCGGCCCGAGCAAAATTTCCCTTATAACACACTGTGTGGCGTGTGCCCGTCTTGATTAGCCCAGTTCGGAGCAAAACAGTAGGACGTTAAACCCGAATTCATTTCATTTCACGGAAAACCGGGGAATCGAAACCTCGCCAGTTGACTCAGTGGCAAACCTTATGATAAACGCGCACATTATTTCGAATTCCAACAGTCTTGGTCCGGGTTTTGGTACCATCTGGACTACTAGACACTGATCCATGCTGCAGCACTAACAGGACCAGTGACAACAAGAACTAGGTAAACAAGGATAAGTCTGGTAGATTAAAATCGGTCAATGACATCATAGTCTGCTAATCCAAATATGACAACCCCATGCATTAGAAACGTGGTTAGCCGCCCTCCTGGGTGCCCATATAAGTACACTGTGTTGAAATCCAGGGTTGTGTCTGTGCCGCTGACCAAACCGACACAGGAAGCACCTGGTCAATTTCCCGGGGCTCAATACATGACTCATGCACGTATCCTGTTTATATAAGACGAGCGGGGATATCTTTCCCTTCAGACATCATTCGGAGGTCAGGGGAACATCATATCCAAAGTCTCTGGTTCGAGGCCGGGATAGAGACAATATGTAGTGTTTCAGCCGTTCGGAGAGAGAGAGAGAGAGAGAGAGAGAAATGGGGTTTAACGTCCACTCGACACAAACTAGGTCATTTCGGGACTAACATATGGTTTTGCAATCCGACGTACGATAATAACTAGATGGCGTTAATTTCCACTCCATGAACTTCTCGGTCAAGGCAAAGTTTTCAATCGATTTATCGGCAGATAAACACGAAATCAAGCAGAATATTCCTTGTGAGCACATTCTACGAACGCTACACAATCAACAATATACACAAAGGCTCGAAAAATGGTGAAAAATTCAATATATGAGACAAGAAACGTTTTCGTTTGCATACCTACGTAAATTCAGCTCCATACGCGTAACGTTTTTTCACTGACCGAACACTCATTACGGATTGACGTCACAAGTACACACGAATTGATGACGTTTTCGTCTTCGTATTCGTTTTCGTACCGGTGCGAAAGGTCCCTATTTAGTACAACAAAACACCAAAACTATCTGCATTATTATGTTTTTAATTCTCTGTTATTTTACACATGGACTGGTACCTACAATAGAAAGTGTGGAAATAATGGAATATCTTATAACAATAGCAGAAAATACCAATTATTGTGTTTAATAATGGGGAACCATCGATCATTTGTCTCGTCAAAGCAATATTCCATTCGGTCGTTATGGGACTAACATGGAAATTGTCATATCTAGGGTTTATGTGTACTCTGCGTACATTTGGTCGTATTATTCCAGTTATTCAATATACGCATGAACCTACCACAGTCAATACAAATGATCGATGGTTCCCCATTATTAAACACAGTAATTGGTATTTTCTGCTATTGAAAACTCTTTTTGACAAATTTTATGTTCATAATCAACGCGATAAACGCAGAGAGCGTGTCACGTGATATGAAATTTAAGTAAAATAAATAAAACACAACTTCAGAACAAATAAACCCCTAGGTTCCTACTCCAGAACGGGTTCCATCATAAAATCCCTGTAGAAGACTGATTTGTTTCAAATATGACGTGTAAAATTCTTCTTTCGTCAGCATGGTGCCACAAATAACCTACAAATAACAAGTGCCCTGGTTTCTGTACTTCAAAACACCTCCCTAGTTCCTTCGTTTGAATTTTGATTTTAAAGTAAATTAATTAATTTCACACAAAATGACCGATCTTTTCTTCGTCTTTGGTTACCTTTTGACAAGGAACTGAGGATGGGGCCATTGCGGCCATGTTGGAATTGTGACATCATAACGATGACGTGTCCGCTATGTATATTAGTTAGAACAAGTACCGCCGTGATGAATCAGATGAATTATTTGTATTAAAATAAAATGTGACTTACTCTTGGGATGATAGGTGTTAGTATCTTTCAACACTAAGGATCAACAGCCATGCGGTCAGATACAAATCGTTCGAACTCTGTCAAGTCATCAACGTTCTTTATCATATCCCGTTTCTTCCAACTTGTACCTGATGCACCACGACTACCTCCTCGACCACCACCCCGCCGCCGTTCTACATTATCCCATATTAAACCACCAATAGCAGCTACATGGAACATGAGTATAACCATGAAAATAGCAATAGTTATTTTCGTCATCTGTAAAGAAAATACAATTTAATGCTAATACTAAGTATATTTGAAAAATACTGTGCTACTAGCAGTGTCGGATTCAAATGTAGAGAGACCCTGTGCTATTCCATTTATGAGACCACCACAGAGTAAAAATACACAGAGTAGCGACTCGCATTACGGCCCATAGTCACACAGCGACGCGCAATGCATCTTGGGAATCTTCTGTAATAAACACTCACTGACAGTTCGCTCAACGACGTTACGATATCTATATCGATGAACTAAATCTCTTTAATTTCGTAGTTTTATAGTATTTTCGGTAACAAAACTACCGAGAATTATCACATACAATCATACGTTAGTTGTGTGTGTTTTTCGGGAATTTATAAAACATGATTCATATTTTTAAAACATGCATAGATAAAGCGTGGTACAGCCCGGTATGAAGCGAGAGACGGCATTTGTGACGATTTATGAATTGGCCTATAAGGCCGTAAACTATTGTCGATTTTAAAGAGTTTTTATTAACTTTAAAATTAATCCACCAAATACTTGTTGTTTCGATTCCTAGATTTGAAATGTAATTTTCATACACCTTAAAATGGACCATTTGAAAATGTCAAAGTGACACGCCCTTTTTTGGATAAGGCCTATTTTATTCAACATCAACACGATTTACCTTTGTCTTCTAGAGCTTATTACTGTGTGATTTTCTTATTTATGTTATTTTAATAAAGTAAGCTTTCATTAAAATATAAAAAAATAATTTAAGAATATTAAAATCGAATTTCAAATAGTCATATAACGTTTTCCAATAAACATATTTGAGCCGTTGGTTGTTTTCCAAGATAAAACACCTTTGGCCCCAACGTTGACTCACTGTGTGCTTTTATGATTTTTGTTCTATTAATTAATGTAGGCTTTCATTTTCAAACACAAATAAAATAATTAACGATAATTCTATTTGAAATAGGCCTATAAAATTTTTTAATAAACATTATTTGAGTTGATTGGTTTCTCTTTTTACAAACAAGTATAAACCAAAAACAACTTTAGAATAAATACTTTGCATATTGCTCTGGGCGTCATGTAATGTTTTGACGGACTTTATAGGCCCCCTAATACTTCGAAATTATCCATTTTACAGTACAACACAAGAATATATTAAATTATTATAAATCTGAAGTTTGCTCTAGATATCCATGACATTAGGTCTGATCTGTGTTCAGAGTTACTTTTATTTTTGTGATTTTTTTGTCAACTGATTATTTAGTAATAGAAAATTTAGTTTATACTGTGTACTTATGGAATTATCTGCCATGAAAACTGAAGTTTACCATACAGCATACTATTACTAGATAATGACAGATTTGAATTACTGAATGGTTTAAAATTAGTGACAGTGCGTCAGTAAATATTTTATTGGTCGGATTAAGGCCTATCAGTAAAATGGGAAATGTGATTTTGAATAGCATAACAGTATTAGGCTTTCTGTATTAAAAGCTTATTGCAATCGAAAATTGAGCAAAATAATATTTTTGTTATGAAATTTGGAAAGGTATATAACATACCATATACTTAACACTTAAATTGTTTACCACAAGTAATTGTAGACCTACATAGAATCACATTTTTTGATACACAAACTATAGAATGTAAAAAGAACATGTGCAACTACAGACTTAATGGGTAAAGCTTACGATTTAAAATTTGATCCTTTAAAAATCACAACTACATGTAATTAAACAACTACATGTAATTCTAAAATTACGAAAATACTAGATAGCATGCGATAAAGAATGCAAGGAATGAGTTGGTTTACATCGAAGCGCAACTACTTCTTGTCCCGCGAAAGCGCAACTACTAAAAAAGATCTACAATTTAAATTACCGGATATTAATACGTTTATTAGACCTATGACTATGACATGTCATGGATTCAAGTGGCGTGGTTTCGATTCCCCGCTTGTACGCGACAGGTGTAGGGTCGCCTGTCTAACCTCGTGGGTTTTCTTCGGGTCCTCCAGTCTCCTCTCACTCAGTCAATGCTAAAAAAAAAGACCCATCAATTGAATTATTGAAATAAAACTGAACCATGTTAGTCCCTAAATTACCTTGATTTGATTTAGCTTAGACAAGTTAGAGCGAGAGGTCATATTATCATAAGTTAGACGTATACCTATACTTCTAGGCCAACAGTACTCAGTACCTACTCTACATTGGAATATATCATAATATGCAATATAATGCCAATTAATCAATCAAATATGAAAACACCTTTCACGAAATATGTACTCTGACAAAGTAAAATTTTTGATGATATATACTGCTGTTAATATTATCTATAGTATTATAGTATTTTCTTCTGTTCAACTGCGAAGCGTCTTCTTTAGCCGACATGTTTAGTGACATTACAGAAAAAACCCAAGATGCAGTGCGCGGACCTACTTTGTATGCAAATGAAGCAGTCGCCACTCTGTATTTTTACTCTGTGAGACCACCATAATCCCAGACCACCATAATCCCCCACCCTCGCGACTAGATGAAGATGAAAGTGTGTTTTAAACAGTGTCAAAAATTGAACACCTTGGCCTAGATTTTGAAGTCTTAGATTTCAGATTACCAAGTCTTTAGGTAAATTCTACCAGTCATTCTCGCAGCGGATGATGTATTGTGTTTCTTCTAAAAAGACCACAAAATCATTTTAAGCAGACCCTCTACGGTCGCCGCAAACAATGTTGGAACCCTATTAGACCGATAATTTATTTCATTTATTTTGAAATAATAAGAATTCTCAATGGAATGGGGTTTAATATCCTACATGTCTGCACATTGGAATACGCCATTGGAATTCAATCGGTTTTAAAATAGGCCTGTCATTAAATATTTGCGGGAAACAAACTGATGGCGGGCTTATTGCAATACGTGAGTCCTGTAGCGCTAAACCGAAGCATCAAGACTTTAAACACTATAACATTATGGTAAAAAGTAGCAGGTCTACAACATTGTGACAAATTTCATCGATTAATGCTATTCGCTATGTAAAAAGCCTGCCGCCAGTTTGTTTTCCATGGATAGTAAACGTAATTTACAATTTCTACGTGCTGTTTGGACTTCTCATAAACTACCCCAGTTACTAAATGCTGTAGAATCGATTCTCTATACTATGGATGTTAAAGTGAAAGTATCTTACCTTAATTCTTCCAGTTTCCGTTGATATCTTCTATACCTTTTCCTTTGGTTTTGTGATACTTTTATACCTAAAACAATAAAGTGGCGTTAGGTACACCAGGCAATATTGCAACGTGAGGTGTTCAATTTATTTAAATTCACACTTAAACAATATTGCCGCTTAAAGGTATTAATTATGTTTTAATTACCTGAATAACATTCTGGGCAATATGCCAACTTTAAGATGACTAATAATATCAAATTTCTATGGTGGCTGATTGGTATCACGACATCACGACATTTTTAACCCGACACTACGACATTTTCACTAGACACCACGACATTAAGAATGTCGTAATGTCGCGTAAAAATGTCGTATTGTCGCGTAAAAATGTCGTGATGTCGGGTTGCGTGGTGTCGTGATGTCGGGTTGTCGACTTTATTTATCAATGTTGAAGCGCCCACGAGATCAATTCAGCCCTCACTATATCAGAGAGAAATGGGGTTTAACGTTCACTAGGTCATTTAGGACATCACGACATTTTTACGCGACAATACGACATTTTTACGCAACATTACGACATTCTTATGGTTAGCACGTGCGCGTTGTATCAGAAGTTCTGTCATTGAGTCAACTGACGTGGTTTCGATTCCCCGGTTGTACGTGATAAGGAGTAGGGCTATTAAAATGGGTTCGTCTGTCTGTCTGTCCGTCACACTTTTTGGGACACAATAACTCTCCTTCTAATTGAGATAGAATGTTCAAACTTGGTGTAGGTGTTTATTAGGTCAATGCCTTGATGGAGTTAGAAAATGAGCATTTTTTGCTTACGGTAAGCAGAGATAAGCAATTTGATTGGTCGATGCTGTGGAACACAATAACGTTAGTTCTAATTAAGTGAGAGGGATGAAACTTGGTGTATAGTTTCATTATATCAATACCTTGACTAAGTTCGATAATGAGCATGTTCTGCTAAGGGTAAGCAGAGCGATAACCAATTTGATTGGTCGAGACTTTAGAACACAATAACTCTCATTCTAATTGAGTTAGAATTATCACACTTGGTGTAGGTGTCTATTAGGCGAATGCCTTGATGGAGTTCGAACATGAGAGTTTTCTGCTTAGGGAAAGCATAGATAAGCACTTTTATTGGTTGATGCTTTGGGACACGATAACTTTAGTTCTAATTAAGTGAGAGTGAGGACACTTGGTGTGGTGTATAGCTTTATTACATAAATGCCTTGACTAAGTTCGATAATGAACGTTTTCTGCAGAGGGTAAGCAGAGCGATAAGCAATTTGATTGGTCGAGACTTTGGAACACTATAACTCTCCTTCTAATTGGGATAGAATGTTCAAACTTGGTGTAGACGTTCATTAGGTGCATGCCTTGATGGCGTACGATGATGAACATTGCCTGCTTACGATAAGCAGAGATAAGCAATCTGATTGGTTGATGCTTTGGGGCATGATAACTTTGGTTATAATGAAGTGAGAGCGATGAAACTTCCGAATATAGATTCATTATATCATTACCTTGACTAAGTTCGATGGTGCGAATTTTCTGCTTAGGCTAAGGAGCGATAAGCAATTTGATTGGTCAAGACTTTGGAACATAACAGCTCAGCTTTTAATTCAGGTAGAATGATTAAACTTGATGTAGATGTTTATTAGGTGAATTTCTTGACTGAGTTCAATGATTAACATTTCGAGCTAAAGCTAAGCAGAGCTAATCAGTTTCAATCTTCGATGTTTTGGGACAAAATAATTTGGTTCTATTTGATAGAGAGTGATGAACCTTAGTGTATAGTTTAATTGCTCGATACTTTTGAAAAAAATAAATGTGCGATTAATGAATATGTGTCATCTATTTATTTTGGGATTTCAGCGGGGGACATCAGCCTCACTGTTGGCTTGTTATATTTTACCTTTTGTTTTATGCATCATCTTTGCTTTATTTTTAGTATGTCACATCTGAAACGTATGGTAGAACACATTATAAAAATAAAGTTATTATTATGAACACTGTCAGATTTGTTTACCATGCCCCCCCCCCCCCCCAACTTAGAAATAACAAATATAGCAATGTTTCCGCAAACTAGTAAAAACTTGATTTTGTGTGACGTAATTAGCTATTGGTCGTGTTTCAATCATTCCCAATTGGAAGAGGATTCAGAGGATTAGTACGTTGGTACCTGGTTTTAACGTGGAATCGCATAATATGGTTTACAGGCACACCCGTCGCCGTCGTCCGAAGAGTCACATTTTCACCAAAATCGAATGTAATGTGTGAACTCTAATGTGTTCAAAAACTGAAAAAGACAAGAACACACTGGCTCAGTGAGTAAGACGTTGGATCATTAACCGTGTGTGATCCCGGTGTTGGTCGAGAAAGCTCATCCAGGTCACATGTACAGATTGACATGTACGTAAAAGATCCCTCCTGACAAAGTGATCTATACCTCTGAAGTTGACGTTTAAACTCTCTATAACTTCTGTTAAGGCACGATCTTATTAAACATCTAATGTATTCAATATGTTCTTTACAGGCTACACGTGATCCGTGTATAATTCGACAAACTTCAAAGAGAATGTATTAGTGGTCAGTTCATCATACCTTGACCTGACAATGACTCCCAAAGAAATATGCAGTGTAATTACAGACATCATAATTTGATAAATAAACAATGCCATATATGGCGATCACTCCTGTCCATCTTCCCTAATTGTTAGACGCTATATAAGCAGGCGTTTACTGAAAGCAAGCCAGACTTGGAATAGAGCTCCTCCCGATTTATGTCTATTTCATGTTCTCAATAAAGGTCTTATCAATTATGCTGATCTTCTGTTATCTGTAACAATGGACCATAGCGCTACTGTCCTGGCAACGTGTCATTCATAGCTCACTGTATGACGTATGCTCGTCGTCATTAGCTTAGTCTGAGCAGAACAGTAGGACGTTAAACCCCATTTTATTTCTATTCACAAGCTAAACCAGGAACAATAACCCCGCGGATTAAGCATAGTAATAACTGTCTCTGTTCCCGTGATGTAATACGTCTATTTATAGTAATTCTCCTTTTCGTCCAACTCACCCCCCTACCCCCGCCCCGCCCACGTTTTGCATGAGATTTTTGTTGACTTTTGGTCTATAATAGAAGAAGAATGTTTGAATCTCCATTTTGTAACAGGTGTCGGGGAATATTTATGATTTTTGCTGGCGGAAGGACCGGTCAATAAACGGACAGAAATTATGGTGACCGCCTATTAAAATGACGTCCCTGCCTATAGATTCCTTCTATCAGATGATTGTGTGACTTGCTGGACTCTTTGTGGTTAAAAATATTATAGATCGTCGGAATGTTCAAACAAAATATTATAGATCAGGAAATGTCGTAAATTTAACATGGGAAAACTGGTCTGGGTTCTTCTAACTTGTTTCCGGTCTCATTGATCTAACGCAACAGACCACGATTCATTCCCAACTGGGAACTAACAATTTACAAGCTAATTAATCCGGCTATGCCAACAGCAAGAGAAAACGTTCGGATCATCCAAGATCCGGTTCCAACAGAACAAAATATTGATATATATGTGTGTGAAGGGGGGGGGGGGCTCCCAGTGCCACCAGGTAATTTTGGGCTGTGTGGAACATGCTAGAGTCAATTTGTAGTATTTCTGACCCACTGTATATTGGGCTGTGTCGAACATGCTAAGAGTCAATTTGTAGCCTATGCTACCCACGGTATATGTTTGACACTGGTTAATAAGCATTATGATTATAATCTTGAAAACCACATTGTACCCGCATGACACTTTGCCATTTGTGAGGGGGCGCAAAAACTCTAAACCATGACGCAAAGCTCATCAATTTTACTTAGCCCCTATCCAAGATAGGGCCAGACACCAAGTTTCAGTAAATCGGTAGGAAACTGTTCACACTATATCAAATAACAAACTGGAAAGCATTTTAACAATCTGTATGATCTCCAGTGCATGTGCTATAACACTAAACCTGTCCCCGCCCCGCCCACCATAGCCCCTTTTACAGTTCAGAAAAATTTGACGAAAACAACAAATCTTGATTGTTCGTTCATTTAGAACACTAGCCAACAACATTCATACAAATTAGAAATCTGGGGGTTGGATAGCGTGTGCGCGTTGTATCATAAGGTATGTCATTGAGTCAACTGCCATGGTGTCGATTCCCCGGTTGTACGTGACAAGGAGTAGGGTCGCCTGTCCAACCTCGTGGGTTTTCTCCGGGTCCTACGCTTTACTCCCACTGCTAAAGACCCCCTATGCGCAAGCGAATTATTGAAATAAAATTGAAGCATATGTTAGTCTCGAAATGACCTAGTTTGTGTCGAGTGGATGTTAAACTCTCTCTCTCTCTCTCCTTCCCCAAACTATTGGGGCGGGGAGCTGAATACAAAAACTCATTATATAAAATGAAATGAAATGAAATGGGGTTTAACGTCCTACTGTTCTGCTCCTAACCTGGGCTAATGAAGACGGACTCATTATATAAGCAGTTATAGTAAATGTAGAAGGATCACGGTTGCTAAGTGGGTAGGGCACTGGCTCACTCTCTCTCTCCCCCCTCTCTCTCTCTCTCTCTCTCTCTCACACACACACAAATTAGATATCGTTGGCAACATAAAACAATTTCCGTTCGTTCCTTCAGGGAAGGAATAGATATGTCTAGCAGCTGGAAACCGACGTAATTATTAAAGTGTTTTACCAAATAAACAAAACCTGAAAAATGATATCGAAATGTTTTTAATCCATGAATTTCACATCTGTGATAAAATTACTTTTCATACCTTTTCTGGGAATTGTTGAATATTGTCACCCAACGGCATACACAGTGTCCATTACAAATGGTGTTTTGTCAACTGGATCAACATTGAATTAAGAAACATGTTACCTAACTGTAATACAATATCATTTGGGATCTAAATTTTATTATTGTATTTTGAATTCATATTTTAAATTATATTTTTCATTTGTAACTCATTTTGGACATGTGACAGATTAATTGTAAAATGTAATCTGCATCAGGTGTGTGAGGATTATTTCATAGTATTATGTAAGATATAATGGGTTACCCAAACAATGTATAGCCGGCTTGTCTTAGACAAGTATATTATGATATAAGGTTTAGGTAACAAGCATCTAGAGATAAGATGTGTGAATCTTAATAATTACTTTTCATTGTTCTGATTACTAATGGTATTAACTATGGCGTGCCTTAACCGATATAAAAAGCCTAGTTTACAAGCAGGCAAAATAAAGTACAAAGGAGGGACAAGAGAGACCCGTAGAGGCTGAGAGGTCTCCCGGACCTCGGGAGAGGGTCTGCCCTCGACACCGGGCAGAGGGGTCCTGTGAGGCCGAGGGGAAGCAGCTATAGCTAGACGTAACTTTACCCAACCAAATGATGTTATTATGTACCTGTAAATATGTTATCCAGTATTAAAATATATTTTTAATAAATAAGAGTTATGTATTCTATCACATAACGCTTTTAATAAATAAGAGTTATGTATTCTATCACATAACGCCCGTGAATCATTTCACTATCAGTGAGAAATTAATCCAACGTTTTAGTATAAAGGTATGATCTATTGTACATATGTCATAATCAGAATTGATATTACATACAGCTATCTGTAATAGTCGATATTACAACCAGCTTTAAGGTAAGAACTTATTGTAATACTTTCACATATTATATTACAACCATAGCTATTTGTGTTCCATTGAATCGTGGTTTAAATTTCTTGCTTGTACATGACATGGTAGAGTCGTCTTTTCCGACTTATTAAAATAAAATTAAACCATATGTTAGTTGGGAATCGAAGCCACGGTGGCTCAGTGAGTATGGGGCTGGCTCATTAACTAGGTAGTCATGGGTTCGCCATGCCGAAAGTCCCCTGTCCAGTCTGGTTTCTACGACACGTGATGCAACACGAGGGTCTGCACATAATGCCTCCGTCAGACCGGGGTGGCATCTTTACTACGCTACTGCGACCGTACGGTGACCACAAAATACACAAGGTCGCCGGCAAACGTGAACACAACGCGAGAAAGTGTCTAGAAAAATTACAAACTTGAGAAATGTCGCGTTCTTATACCCCCATCAGACCAGGGTGGCGTCCTTACTGCGCTGCTGCGACCGTACGGCGACCAGAAAATGTACAAGCTAGGTCGCCGGCAAACGTCAACACAACACAACACAACACGAGACAATGTCCAAAAAAATTACAGACTTGAAAAAAGTCGCATTCTCATAGCTTTCCACATCAGATCTCAGAACCTTGGCGTTTGTTTTGAACATGCTCAAAACAAACGCCGTGACTTGGCGATCATGGAGACCACAACACGATGTATGTCCGTCTTCATTAGCCCATTTGGTGGTGACAAGTCGAACGTTAAACCCCATTTCGTTTCATTTTATTATGGTAAACCTTATAGAAAAATGGTTGGTCACTAAATTTGCTGCTAAATGCTGACCCTTTAATATACAGGTCAAACCATGTTCCTGAAGCAACGACTGCGGGTTTACAACATCTGGACATTGCTAGATTACTTCACAATTCCCGAACTTATAGCTACGTTATCTACAGATTATCACAGGTTGGCATTTTAGCTTGAAAGCGCAAGACTTCGTATACGCGACGATCGATGAATCTGATAGGCTCACAAGCTGGGCTTGTACCCAATTGAAATTAGTGCCGAAATATACAAGGTATTACCTGAAGACCTTGATAAAATGTACGTAGTTAAAGCGAGATCAAGCCTTCTATTGAAGATGATATTAAAACTACCGAGCAAAGTTTCGAGTAATGACGTAGATGCTTAGGCTAAAACTGTACGACAAATCGCATTCTTAACTGAACTGATTATTTCACAGTCAACCCTTGCTTACGATTTGACTTCAGGAGTTATCCTCACCCATACTGTCTTTAGACAATTAGACAATTCATGGATTTGTTAATTTTAGTGTCCTCCAAATTAAATTTTACTTAGTATTTTGGTATACAGTTATATTTCCAGAGAATATATCTCATAAACCGTACAAGATATTTCTTGAAACTTTGTACACCTTGTGTATAGTTATCATTAGAAATTTACCGAATTTATCAATTTGTGTGTTTCTATGGAAACACATCTGCCTTATTTTTTGGTGTGCAATTATTAAAGGGATAATGACACTCTTGCTGGCTTGACAGCTCCAGAAAATAAATAATAGCCTTATTCTAAGTATTAGATGTTTAATTGTCCTACCTGTTGTGTAAATTATCCATTAAATCCTATTTTACTTGTCCAGAGGGTTCGAAAATATTTTAAAACCCAAGTCACAGTTGAAAAGGTTTACGTTAGGCTTTTCAAATCATTTAGTTGAATTTTTCCAATTTTTTAAATTAGGTGTGTTAAGATAAAATTTGTATCATCAATTAATTGGAATATTGTAAAATAGTACAATTTGTTGACCAGAATAAAGATTGGGGCATATTATTCAGTTACAACAAGAGTGGTATTGAGCCTTTAATCCTGGGCGCATCTCTCAAACCATTCAAGATATCGCTGTGAAAATTTATGGAATTTGGTTTTTATTTATACAAAAATAATTGAGAATATAACTTTTGAGTCTGGTGGTAATTTGATAGTGAACAAACGGTGTTGAGAGTTTGTAATTTATGCCTACTATAACTAGCTATCGTGGGATATCCTTGTTATTTCAAAACATTTCCAATAAGTGAGAAATGTCGATGATACGAGTTCCTTATTATTGTTAATTTTGTGAAGTTTTATCTCATGACGTCATCTGCCAGACTATCGCCACCAGGAAACGCCATCCGGAGACAGCCAGCCGCACTATTGCGTCCTTCATGTAAATGATTATTTTGTTTTTCGTTATAAATGGAGTTTGCAGGCGCGGATCCAGGATATTTTGCATGGGGGGTCTAGGTTGGATAATTGCTTAACTAATTGCGGTGGGCGTAGCCCACCGCCGCGAGTGCCGAAGGCGCTAAACGTTGTAACGGCGGGTCGGGGGGCCCTCCCCCATAAAAATTTGGTAAATTAGATTCAATTTGGTGCATTCTGACGTATTTCCGGAAGGTAAATTCCAAAATTACAGGTCTAAAAATCGCCAATAAAATCGCATAAAATGTCCTTAAAATGTTGATGGGGAATGCTCCCTTCAGAGGTGAGGAACAAAATATCTTCAGATACCATATTATGGTTGTTCTTAACAAGCTTTATTAGCAGTATCAATTTACTATTAGAGTCGGGGCGGATTGGGGCCGGGAACCGGCCCGGGCCCCCCTGTCGGAGCGGCCCCTTTTACTGTCCGCGGAGCCCGGACGGGGTGTCCGGGGGCTCTCCCCGTGGAAAATTTAGAAAAATGAACCCCAAATATGCGATTTGGTGGCATATCTGGTTTTAATCTCTGTCAAATAATATATCTCATAAATCGATTAATTTAGACCAAAACCCCGACCTGCAAGTAATTTACAACCATCAACCTGTGAAATTATCATATCTTCATAATATTAATTAACGTATTATCATTGTATCGTCAAGAGTCAAGATAATTCAACTGGTTAACAAATGGGAGTAGTTGAGAAAATTTTGTCCATTTGATTAACCAGTTAGAAATATTGAATAAATAGGAATATTTTCATTGGAAAATGTCCCATTTTTGTTGCTGGGAGCGCTAGTTGATTCCTCCTGTGATGAAAGGCCACGAGACACATTGTACAGGGTGACGAAAGTGAAATTCATGAAGTCTATTATTATACCAGCCCATTCCAGACTCCAGTGATGGCGTGGCGGCCTGTTATAGCCACCGGCCACATACAACATGATCATCCTCGCTCCATGGCCGGTCCAATACCCCCCCCCCCATATAATGTTCAGCAGAAAAAGTTTTTTTTTTAGACGAATTGGACAAAATTATTTCTTTTCATTTTTTGTCCGACCGGCCCTTCGGGCGATCGCCCGACCGCCCAATCCGCCTCTGATTAGAGTAACCAGTCCATTTAAGTATAGGAAAGTTGGTCGGGGTTTTCCAGAGCACAAACTTTCAGCGCATAAAAATAAATAATATAGCTTGCAATAGTTGCTTGGTGTACGAGAAAAAGGAGAAACGAAAGGAGAAACGAAAGGAAAGGAATTCGACGGTTAGGACCCTTCACAATTAGGCTAATTAAATAAATTACGTCTCACGCAGCAATTGTTTTAAATGCGCGTATAAAAAAAGTCTTACGAATGACGACCTGTCGGAAGTATTTTACCTTGCCAGAGCTGTATGTGACTATTTGTTTTTGCCCACAATGGAATGAAAGTCATGACTCAACTCAATGTATACAAACTCGCTATTTTCGGGTCAGATTCAGGCTTTTAGATTTAAGTTTCTCGGACCCTTAAAATTTTCAAGTCTGAGCAGGGGGGAGGGGGTCCGGACCCCCTGGACCCCCCCCCCCTCTGGATCCGCGCCTGGCTTGAATCATTACAGGTGGGGTACTGTGGCTCCCGGATCCATTCACTTGATTTGATATTTTGTTGTTTTGTTGTTTATTTATTCTTTAAATGGCATTTAGTAATTGGAACATAATCAAATAACACACTATTTATGGATAACAATTACTGTGGTTTATTTCACAGCGACGTTTCAACAAGATTTCACAAGTCGTTATCAAGCATATAACACAAATAAATAACATGAAAACAAAATAGCTATATATATATACACGAGCAGTGCGAACCCTCCAATGGGATGCAAAATCAGCAAGCATGAGCAACTGTCCCAAGCCGTTAAATAAACAATGTACATATATGGTTATAAACTGTAATTGGTATAGATAAGTGCAGGAATGAAGCCAAAGGATCAAACAATTATTAGCAGGTATAATGAGTCACGAGCAACTGGTCCTGACTGTAAAAGCATATTAAATAAATATATATATATATATATATATATATATATATATATATATATATACAGTAATTAGTTATAGATGAAAGTAATAATAAAAGATGAAAGGACAAGTATTATGGGGGGTGAAACTGAAGCCATAAGCAGTTAATCCTAACAGTGAAGGCAATATGCAGTAAAGCAAATTGTAATTGATTTGAGGAGATGTACAAAGTTAAAAGCAATACAAATATTAAAGTTTGAGGATAGTTCAGAGACGATGTAAACTACATTTTAATGATGCGATCATGGGGGGTCTAGGTTGGATAATTGCTTAACTAATTGCGGTGGGCGTAGCCCACCGCCGCGAGTGCCGAAGGCGCTAAACGTTGTAACGGCGGGTCGGGGGGCCCTCCCCCATAAAAATTTGGTAAATTAGATTCAATTTGGTGCATTCTGACGTATTTCCGGAAGGTAAATTCCAAAATTACAGGTCTAAAAATCGCCAATAAAATCGCATAAAATGTCCTTAAAATGTTGATGGGGAATGCTCCCTTCAGAGGTGAGGAACAAAATATCTTCAGATACCATATTATGGTTGTTCTTAACAAGCTTTATTAGCAGTATCAATTTACTATTAGAGTCGGGGCGGATTGGGGCCGGGAACCGGCCCGGGCCCCCCTGTCGGAGCGGCCCCTTTTACTGTCCGCGGAGCCCGGACGGGGTGTCCGGGGGCTCTCCCCGTGGAAAATTTAGAAAAATGAACCCCAAATATGCGATTTGGTGGCATATCTGGTTTTAATCTCTGTCAAATAATATATCTCATAAATCGATTAATTTAGACCAAAACCCCGACCTGCAAGTAATTTACAACCATCAACCTGTGAAATTATCATATCTTCATAATATTAATTAACGTATTATCATTGTATCGTCAAGAGTCAAGATAATTCAACTGGTTAACAAATGGGAGTAGTTGAGAAAATTTTGTCCATTTGATTAACCAGATGACTTGGTAAACACACCCTTTTGGGGAGATGGGTTTGGTGGGGGTTATCTTACCATTTGCTTTTATTAAATCCTTGGTTGTCTTGCCTTTGAGATATGTGGTTTCTATCTGCGCTTCTTGTTTTAATAATCTAATTTGGTGGGAGATGTTTCCGTGGAAGGGTATAAACACTCGTATATACATTCCAAGAGCGTATGATCGCATCATTAAAATGTAGTTTACATCGTCTCTGAACTATCCTTTAATTTTAATATTTGTATTGCTTTTAACTTTGTACATCTCCTCAAATCAATTACAATTTGCTTTACTGCATATTGCCTTCACTGTTAGGATTAACTGCTTATGGCTTCAGTTTCACCCCCCCATAATACTTGTCCTTTCATCTTTTATTATTACTTTCATCTATAACTAATTACTGTATATATATATAGATTTATTTAATATGTTTTTACAGTCAGGACCAGTTGCTCGTGACTCATTATACCTGCTAATAATTGTTTGATCATTTGGCTTCATTCCTGCACTTATCTATACCAATTACAGTTTATAACCATCTATGTACATTGTTTATTTAACGGCTTGGAACAGTTGCTCATGCTTGCTGATTTTGCATCCCATTGGAGGGTTCGCACTGCTCGTGTATATATATATAGCTATTTTTTTTCATGTTATTTATTTGTGTTGTATGCTTGATAACGACTTGTGAAATCTTGTTGAAACGTCGCAGTGAAATAAACAACAGTAATTGTTATCCATAAATAGTGTGTTATTTGATTGTTGTTTATTTCTTGCAATGTCTGTGTAGTTTATCTTGGGGTTTAACGAAAGAAACAATGATTTAAACTAAACATTGTTTTTATTTTGAAATTTATCTTTGTAATGACATGACCTTATACAGCAATAAAGTTCTTGTTGTAACATCCGATACAACTTCTAATTTGAGGAGAAATAAAATGGGTTTAACGTCCTAATGTTCTGCTCCGTACAGTGTGCTATGAGGGAAATTTTGCCCGGACAGCGGCACTACGGCCTACTGTTATAGAGAATTCCAACTGTCAAAGGATCTTGTACGTGCATGCCAATGTGTACGAGGGACCTCGATTTTTCGTCCTCTGTCCTGCATCACTGACAAGGAGGAACCACGCCGGAAATTCTGGATGAACTTTCTCGGCCAATGCAGGGATCGAACACCCGACCTCCAGACTAGCGAGCCAGCGTCTTACCCACTTAGCCAGCGTGATCCCCAATTTGAGAAGATGATGTACAAAGCACATTATTGTTAACAGTTTTGATGGAAAACAATCACTAGGTTTATTCTAAAATCACGACGCTTCAACAATGTGCTTGATAATGATAACAGGAAACGCATTTAGAATAAAATTAGTGATTGTTTCCCATAAAACTGTATCCTGTTAATGTGTTTCCTAATCGCTAAATGCCACTCAAAGATCACATTATTGTTGTATTTCAATTTTTGTTTTTAAGATGATGAAGACTTGTGTTCAACTGCTATTGGTGGTAATGATACTAGGATGTCATGTCGCAAGAGGCTGGAAGAAAAGAGATGTAACAGGGATTTTGGATGAAAATGAAAGATTTGCTAGTCCCCCATTTTTCCCACCCCCTACATTCCCTAGTCCTCCTACATATCCTGGTTTTCCAGATCCTATTTGGGCGAAGAGGCATGGGAATGATTTGAATCTGTTGGATAATGATGAAGAGTATGAGAGATCTGCTGTTGATGAGCTTGAACCTTAAATTCATATTAGCAAGCCATATTAAACATTATGCAAGAACTAAATCTGTCTATTGTAGGTCTTTCTTTAGGCCTGAAATGTTATATAAACTATTAATTAGACATTAATTAACCTATCCAGACCATAATCAACTCTCGATATCATCTTATCTGTCCGATTTTCATTGGATTGGAATCCGATCTGCTGTTCAACATTCGTTGATGATTAAACGGAAAATTGGATGATCGAGACTTTGTTAATTATCGTGACAGCGTTAACAATGACAATCGAGGCTACAATGTTTTTAAAAAAAGGTTTTCTCGGCTTAGCGTGAAGCAATTTAACTGAAATTTTCAGAATATTCCCTTTCCATCAGTATAGTAAGAACTGCCAGCTCTTTATCTAATCTTCCATAATGTATCTTTAAATAAAATAAAACTATAAAACTGTTGTCTGGAGTATGATGGTAACTATAGAGTTAGAACAATTGTCGTTGTGCCTAATTCATCAGGTTTACAGAAGTATTTAAAGTTCTCCCTTTCCAAACTTTCAAAATGTTTCCTTGCAAATTTATTGCAACAGTCGACACATTCCAACCAATATCCCAAATTTTTAAAAGATCTAATGTTGTGTTGTGTCACCTTAGAGTTCCTTTAGGAACGGTCTCAGATCGGACGCTGTCCTTTGACCGTTTCTATTCAACAGTCGACACATTCCAACCAATATCGACAATTTTAGAAGGTCTAAAGTTGGGTGGAGGATCACGTGGCTAAGTGGGTAAGACGCTGGCTCGCTAGCCTGGAGGTTTGGTGATCGATTCCTGCATTGGCCGAGAAAGTTCATTCAGATTTTCCGGCGTGGTTTCCATGCTTGTCAGTGATGCAGGATGGAGGGCCTGACAAGGACAGCTTTCTAGTTGTTCGGATGGGACGAAAAACCGAGGTCCCGTGTACACATTGGCGTGCACGTAAAAGATCCCTTGGCAGTTGGAATTCGATATAAGAGTAGGCGATAGTGCCGCTGCCCGGGCAAAATTTCCCTCATAGCACACTGTGTGGCGTATGCCCGATCTTCATTAGCCCAGTTTAGGAGCAGAACAGTAGGACGTTAAACCCCATTTCATTTCATTTTCATTTATTTCGCCTAAAGTTGGGTTGTGTCACCTTTTAGTTCCTTTAGGAAATGTCTCAGATCGGACGCTGTCTTGTGACCGTTTCTTTTCAATATGGAATTAACGCTTTACCCCAATCTCTGTTTTAAGGCAGGGGTGGGGGTGGGGTGGATGGCCGAATGACAGACCGTATGATACAGCGCGTACGTGCTAACTTCGGCCATCCCCCCCCCCCCATTAATGAAATGAAATGGAGTTTTAACATAATTATTTCCTGCATTAACCGGGTTAATTTGACCCCAACAGTGGCGATATAGTTTTATTTATTGTCAGGGCATCTTTAATGAGCTACTATTGGTGAACTTCGTTTTTTTTCGTACCATTCGAACGACTAGGCCCACCGTCCACCACCACTGACAAGGAAAGGGGTAAGGCTGAAAATCCCGAACCGGTCTGCTTAGTGTGTTTGTTTTCAACAATCTACTATTTGTATTTCCCACATAGCACACTCTGTGACGTATGGCGTTCTTTATTAGGATACAAAACTCCATTTCATTGCTGATTGTTTAACACGCCGAATATTGACAAAATGAAATGGGGTTTAACGTCCTACTGTTCTGCTCCGAACTGGGCTAATGAAGACGGGCATACGCCATACAGTGTGCTATTTGGAAATTTTGCCTGGACAGTGACACTACGGCCTACTCTTATATCAAATTACAACTGTCAAGGGATCTTTTACGTGCAGGCCAATGTGTACACGGGACCTCGGATTTTCGTCCCATCCGAACGACTAGACAACTGTCCTTGTCAGGCCGAATATTGACAAACTTTCAATTCAACATAAAATAACTTTGTAGTTGCTGAATGGTCAGGAGAAACCTTACATCTCAAAGACCTTGACAAAAAAATGAGCTGGCCTTTAGCCGTTCTGAACAGATGGGAATGATACGTGGTATGTTGCGTTATATAAATGAGACCGGTAACAAGTCAGCGGTACTCAGACCAGGCACCGAGTTCACAAAGCATTCTCAGACTCAAGTTAAGAATTTACTCAACTTTCAATCACTGATCATGAGAAATATCTTTGACCCAGAAACACAAAACTTTACACATAGTTTCTTATTGATGTGTTTAATGCATTTATACAACATAGGTTTTATAAAGGGATATATTTGAGTTAAAATAAGGCAAGCAATTTTGATTAAATTCTTAACTTAAGTCTGAGAATGCTTTGTTAACTCGGGGTCTGTTCTCCCATGTCCAATTTATGACATTTCCTGATCTATAATATTTATAACCACAAAGTGTCCAGCATGTCACACAATCATCTGGGGAGATGCTAATTGTAGGCCGGGTGGGGAGGTTCGGGTATTTCCGGAGTCCAAAATGGCCGCCTTATATAAATGAGTATTTTGGGGAGTACTAACCCGAACCTAACCCTAACCCTTTTAAGAGAGGTAAAAGGTAAATTGGATCCAAGTTAAGTCTTCTAAAAAGGATTAAGGTTAGTCCTAATATTCCCCAAAATTCTCATTTATATAAAGCGGCCATTTTGGTATCCGGAAACACCCGAACCTCCCCAATCGGCCTACAATTAGCATTTCCCAATCATCTGCTAAAAATATTGATGATGCATGGTCAAAGGAATCTAAAGACGGGGACGTCATTTTAATAGGCGGTTGACATAATTCCTGTCCGTAATTACCAGGGGCCTGTTTCACGAAATTTTAACTAAGATAAAATCCAAATTTTAGTAATTTGATTGGATAATATTAGATTGATTTTGGTGCTTAGCCAATCAAAATTGAAGTATCTACTAAAATTTGGATTTTATCTTTAGTTAAAATTTCGTGAAAGAGGGCCCTGGTCCTTACGCCCCCAAATCATAAAAAATCAATCAACACCTAGCATAAAATGGACATTCAAACATTATTCTTCGTAATTAGATTAGGCCAATTAAAAGTCAACGAAGTAGTCATGCAAAATGAAAATGAAAATGAAATGAAATGGGGTTTAACGCCCTACTGTTCTGCTCCGACTGGGCTAATGAAGACGGGCCGTGTGCTTTGAGGGAAATTTAGCCCGGACAGCGGTGCTACAACCTACTCTTATATCGAATTCCAATTGCCAAGGGATCTTTTACGTGCACCTCGGTGATTCGTCCCATCCGAACGACTAGACATCTGTCCTTGTCAGACCCTCCTTCCTGCACCGGAAAATCATGCCAAAAGTGTGAATAAGGAGAAAACGATAACTGCTATAAATAGACGTATTACATTACATCAGAGAACCAGTAACAAAAAGAACGAACAACAGAAATGAAGATGAAATCAACAACCATACCGGACAAGAAGAAAAAATGGAAGGGAAAATGGACCATGCCCTACCCTCACCAACAAGGAAGAGGTGCACCGCCCTGCCATTCAACCGGACAAATCGACCAGACCGACACAAATGACTTGTATAAATATATATGTACATGTTTTATTGTCTAAATGTTTGTCCACATTCGTGTCTGTTCTGTCAGATGTTCGAGTTGTGCTGTACAATGTATGTCTGTCTGTAAAATGTGTATGTCTCTATTCGCAAAAATTTCCAGCACTTGTTATATATACTAAACAGCAAAAACCCCCCAAAAAAACAAAAAAATCGTCAGGTACGATTTCAAAATCAGAGAGGCGCTTTAAGCAAATCATTCTAGAAAACGACTTACTAAATGGATCAAAGCAATTTTTATACGCCCACATTTTCATGTGGACGTATATTGTCCGTCGCCCCTGTCCGTCCGTCAACAATTTGTTTGTGGGCACACTACATGTCACAATTTTTATCCGATTTTGACGACTTAAAATATAGGTCTATCTCCAAAAGATCTCAGGGTTCCTTTCGATATCGGTATGCATCGGACCATAACTTCATGGATTATGGCCCCTGATTGTACGAAAAATCACGCTTTTAGCTTGTGGGCACGCTAGGGGGCAGAATGTTCACCCGATTTTGCTGAAACATGAAATGCATGTTTATTTACCGCTGGCCGGGCAAAATTTCCCTCATAGAACACAGCATAGCGTATACCCGTCTTCGTTAGCCCAGTCGGAGCAGAACAGTAGAACGTTAAACCCCATTTCATTTACTTCTAATTATAGCACCCCCCCACACACACCCACACACACCCACACACACACTTTGGGTCTAGAATTGAAGACGAAATGAATTTCCATTTTTCTGTCAGGTTTTGATGAAAAGTCATAATTTGAGGCAAACAGACATGACGTCACAGACTACAGATTCCTTGATCAACCCCCTACAATGTTTTTATCAGACGACTGTGACATGTTGGGTTCATTTTTCATTTTGGATATAAAGACTGGTTTATAAGCCAAGAAATATTATGGTTTTAACCTCGAAGTCAAAGGGGGGGGGGGGGGAATTACTGGTCTGATTCCAGATACTTGCAGAGTAAGGCACGCAATTAGATTTATCTCCCTTGTACTTGTGAAGCATGACATGGAGATTGATGCGCATGGTAATGCGCACTGAGCATTCGGTTAGATCTATTTCATAAGGCCAGCTTCAAATTTGGTCAAAGGTCACGAGATGTAAACAGGGCTAGCGCTAATCTCAACCCTAACCCTGAACCTAACGCTTACCCTTACCTATAATCTCGCCAACAATCACGTGCCCTTAACTAATTTGCATCTCGGCGTCCGTGACGAACTCTTCAGTTGGCCTTAAGAAATAGGTCTAGCGCTCATCCTCAAATTATACCGTCTTGAAGAGTTATAAAACGAAACGAAAAAGAATCTGTGTTTTAATCTGATCGTAGAGGTTGCCGCATGGAGAAATCAAATGAGGTTTAACGTCCTACTTTTCTGAACCGACTGGGTTAATGACGACGGGCATACGCTAAACAGTGTGCTATGAGGGGGGCTGACCTGACAAAGGGAAACCGCGACTAAAATCCAGAGGAAATTGCACGGCCAAGACCGGCAGACACCATGGTAAACGAGCCTGTGTTTTACCCATCCAGTGTCTGGCACTCCCGCTGCATGGAGATCTGGGTCCGTATTCAAAGGTTTTCTAAAAGTTAAGTAAATTTTTCCACTTAACTGACCGTATTACCACAAATGAATTTAACTTTATTATATGACACTCGGCGACATTGTCTTTGTTTCAATCTGAATCCCCGAACTTTTAAAATCGTCATTACGGTACTGCTACTACAGCATTAAAATAAATCATTATAATCTCACTTAACTTTAAGGTACCTCCCATAGGTCACTTAAAGTTAAGTGGATATTTCTCACTTAAACTGGCCTTTGAATACCACTTAAAGAATATCACTTAAAAGTTAAAATGGAAAATTTGATACTTAACAGTGCCTTTGAATACCACTTGCCCTTAACTTACAGGAAGTTACGTATATTTAAGTGAAAGCTAGTAGTTAAGTGACTATCTTAGACTTAAGATATCCTTTGAATACGGACCCTGTTCGTTCAATCTGATCTGCAGTAAATACCTCTTGGTCGCTGTAAAATATTCGCGTTCGAGTAATTCGTATAGTTAACAAAATCATTTAGCGCTTTCGAATTTCCGATCGCTTTTCTAATGACATTTACTACGACATTTTGTTATTGTCTTGTTTTCTTAACATTCGTGTGAATCAAACACAAACTGTGATTCTAATTATAAATCTGTCCCGCCTTCCCTAGAGCACATTACTAATCATACTATTGGCAAATAGGGGCAGAATAAAAACAAATTGATATGACCCAGTTTTGTATTAATTCGTTTATCTATAAAATAATATATACAGGGGGGGGGGGGGGAAATGGGGTTTAACGTCCCCTCGACAGAAACTAGGTCATTTCGTGACTAACATATGGTTCAATTTTATTTCAATAATTCGTTTCCGCGTAGGGGTCGAGTGGACGTTAACCTCCGCCCCACCCCCTCTCTCTCTCTCTTAGTACTCTTTGCTTTAGAGAGCTGCTTTTTAACATTTGAGACTGGTGGCACAATCTTTTCCTTCTAAAGGGGGTTCTCTATCTTTCTTTCTTTTCTGATGTTATTGGCAATCATTAACAATACGGTTGCCAAAGTCTTAGAGCAATTACACCCGAAATGACCCCCCCCCCGTATCTCTCTCTCTCTCTCTCTCCTCTCCCTCTCTCTCTCTCTCTCTCTCCTCTCTGCCTCTCCCCCTCTCTCTCTCTCTTTGTTGTTATAAACATTAAGGTCATCGGAATATTATTTAAAAATGTCATCAATTCAACATTGTTGTCTGAACCACGGTGGCTAGATTAGTAAGACGCTGGCTCCCTAGCCGGGAGGTCGCGGGTTCGCTCCTGGTGAATCCCGATTTTCCAGCGTGGTTTCCCCTTGTCAGCAGTGCAGAACGGAGGGCCGGAAAGAGCTGCTGTCTAGTTGTTCGGGTGGAACGAAACACCGAGGTACCGTGTACAAATTGGCATGCACGTAAAAGATCCCATCGCAGTTGGAATTCGATATAAGAGTAGGCCGTAGTGCCGCTTTCCAGAAAAATTTTACTCATAGCGTATGCCTGTCTTCATTAGCCTAGTCGGAGCAGAACAGTAAGATATTAAACCCCATTTCATTTCATTTCAACATTGATATCAATGGGGAGATAATTTACATGTATGATCTTCCCACTCTAATTAAAATACAGATCTATATTTCGTTTCGTATTTTTTATACTTTCGATGGCCTACACTACATGAGATCTAACCGATTCTAGTGGAAAGTCGCGTAAGAGGTCACGCGAACGGGTTTTGACCCCATGACGTCAAATATTTGATTAATCAATCAGCGTTGATGTTTCTAGTGGGTTATCCACAGTTCCGTGCACCTCACGCCAAAAAATTACCGTAACAGACCGTTTCGTTGGCTAATCCTTCACATCATCCAGAACGCAGGTTATATAACAACTCTTCCAGATCCTAGTGTAGTAAGACAAGGAAAACGAAATTTTGAACTATAAAAAAACGTGTTTTAATCAGATTGTAATCTTCTTAGACGTTATCAGTTTATTACATCCGCTTTCACGGAGTGACTACCCAAATCTCCCATAATCAATTATTGGATCTTATGGGAATTATACTGTGCGAGAAATATAATGTGAAAATATTGGTTAGACTAGTGATGTAACCTGATGGGAATTACTAGACCGGTGATGTAATCTAGGTAACGTCAAGTCAACCATTTAGTTTGCTTTCTGGTGAAATCAATTATGAGCCGTTCCATTGTGTGTGTGAGAGAGAGAGAGAGAGAGAGAGAGAGAGAAAGAGAGAGAGAGAGAAATGAGGTTTAACGTCCACTGGACACAAACTAGGTCATTTCGGGACTAACATATGGTTTTGAATTTTTTATTTACATAATTCGCTTGTGTGTAGGGGTCTTTAGCAGTGGGGGGAAACCGGAGGACCTGGAGAAAACCCACGAGGTTGGACAGGCGACCCTACTCCTTGCCACGTACAACCGGGGATTATGATACAGCGCGCGCACGCTAACCATTCAGCCATCCAAACCCCCAATATGTGAGACTTAAAAATGAAATGAAATGGGGTTTAACCTCCTATTGTTCTGCTCCGACTGGGCTAATGAAGACGGGTATACGTCAAACAGTGTGCTATGAGAGAAATTTTGCCCGGGCAGCGGCAATATGGCCTACTCGTATATCGAACTACAACTGCCAAGGGATCTTGTACGTACATGCCAATGTATACACGAGACCTCGGTTTTTGTCCCATCCGAACGAAGAGACAGATATCCTTGTCAGGCCCCATACCCAACACCACTGACAAGGGGAAACCACGTCGGAAATCAGACATCTTGACAATTTTGCTCGACGGTGCTAGTAGCGTATGTGGACATTCCAAACGGAGCCACGGTGGCCCATCTGGATTGCGGAGGATATGATCGCGTGGAAATACATATAATTATATCATAAATAGCCAGGAACTTTCCAAAAATGACAAAGAAAATTTAACTAGAATGTTCCGGGTTCGATTCCCTGTGTGGGTCGAGAACAGCCCCGCTCTGAAAAGAAAACATTTGTCAACAATGTCTAGCCTTAAAAAATAAAAAAAAATTGATGTCAATAGAATAGGATTTTAAAATGAATTTATGGCATTTGTTCCGATATAAAAACAAATGTTATAAGTCAACATAAAGACAATTGTTGATATTTAGAATGCCGACGTAAAATATGACGTCAGTGCATCATGTTGAAAATAATAACTCAATAAATGTCGATAAATAAATATTATTTTTTGTCGAGATGAGACCAAAAAACGATTACCTATGATTACGGTTACTTGTTTTTAACAATATTATATTCAGTCAATATTTACATAATCTAAACATACAAAATATGGTTCAATTCTCTTTCAATAATTCGCTTGCGCGTAGGGGTCTTTAGCAGTGGGCAGAAACCGAAGAACCCTACTCCCTGTCACGTACAACCGGGGATTCGAAACCACGCCAGTTGACTCAATGACAGACCTTATGATACAGCACGCACGTGCTAATCATTCGGCCATCCAACACCCCTGCAATAGACAGATTTAACTCTTGTATGTCTAATGAAAATACTTGTCTGGATTTAGCAAACTAAATGAATGAACTTTTAGCTCTTATTGATAAACCACAGTTAATAGTTTGATCAAATACTGTTTAGTAAACACATGTCTTCCTTGTTTCAAAAGTTAAGGGAGCTGTAACTGAATATTTTCCATAAAATTGGAAATTAAAGACACGAATTTAAATTCTAAGTAGGCCGCTTCAATCCATATTGATGTTGTTATCTTACTGTGGAAATATGGGATCCTAATATCCAATATTTAAGATATAGTGACCATGTTAAAATCTATACTCGAGTCGTGTATTCTACAGTTTCGGGTACCATTTGTAATGAACAAAGAAAGGCATATTATCCATCAAGACAATGGAGAAGTAATTAGTAGGCTAATGGCTGATTCACAAACGATAAAATCATCAACAAAACGCGTAGAACGGACTAATAGGGTCGTAAACGACTGCTGTTCAATTTGGACTCGTCTCGTATTTCACAAACAATATGGATTAGAATTTTCAATAAAAGAATTAAACATTGAATGTCCATCAGTTTATATATGTTCATATTACATTAATGGGTGCCTTTAGACCTATTTTGTCTATTTTAAGGTTAAAAAAAGAGGCATACGCCATTTATAAGCAAAACTTTCTCCTTAAAGATACATTAAAAGAGTTGGCGGTTCTCACTATAATAGTTAAAAACTAAATAATGTAAAAGGAATATGCTGAAAATTTTAGTAAATTTTAGTCACTGTAAGCCGAGAAAACTTTACTTAAAATCACTGTAGTCTTGATTGTCATTGGTCATTGTTACCGCTGTCACGATAATTATCAAAGTCTCGATTATCCATTTTGGCATTTAATCATTCAAGTCCAAGGAAAATCGGACACAAAAGATGGCATCGAGTGTTATTTTATGGCCTTTTCATGATAATAAATGTTTAATTAATAGTTTATATTACATTTCCAGTCTAACGAAAGACCTGCACTAGGCATATTTAGCTCTTGAATAATGTAAGTTTAATTAAACTACCATTTATAAGCAAAACTTTCTCCTGGTGTAGGAAAGCGTATTTAATTAACAATCTGATAAAATAAAATTTCTATTACTTTATATAAATTGTAACTAGACAACCTGAAGTAGGTCTGATATTAATAAAAGAGTCGTATCACGAGAAGGTAAATATTATACCAACTTCAAATCAATGGCAATCAACGATTTGCGATAAGAATGCTTTACGGATACTTCAGCACGTGTTGCGCGGAATTTATCGACTTACTTGCACTCTCGAAATCTTGGCGAAAAATGAACCCAACCCGTTTTAATTTTAACATGATAGATTCGTCCTTTTTAAGACTTTAGGCCAGGCGGTGCAGAAAGCTAAGAAGCTAAAAACCCTTTTTATCGAATGATAGAACGTATGCGATAAAAATTGAACAATGTTGGACTTCCTCATTAGTGTTCGCGGTGTGCACAATCGATACAGAACCAAGCCGTAGTTTCGTACGATATTAGCAGTGTATTGTATATAGCGTTTTAGAAACGTGCGTACCTGGCTGAACGACAGATTGATTTGTTTAGGGGGTAAAATGAAGCGTGAAAGATTATCATTGGTCAACTATTGGAGAGCAGAAATTTAATTAACTCAATCCTTTATTGCCAGTCAGCGTCAATCAATGGTGAATGACTCGGAACTAAGCTTGTTTCGAGAACATTGTGAGAGGAAGGAAGCTGCTATTAATAAGTTGTCATGCTATCTTAGTTTCCTCAAAGAAATTGGAGTTTTATTGGTATTCGCTGACATAAGTGATATACCCTTAATAAGGTAAGATGATATTTTATTTTTACGACGTTTTGTTTTTAAATAATTAAAAAAGTTATAAATTAATTCATTTCGCACCTGATGCACCTTGGAAAGATATATATTATCAAAGTTTACTTGGTAAATATTGTATATATTTTTTGCAATATTTTCTTATCTTTAAAAGGAAGGAGTGTTCTTTGATCTGCGTAAAAAAATTAATTTCAATCTGATGACTTGGTGAAATTAACTGTGAATTCTCTATAACCTAGTCTCATAGTTTGAATATGTTATGTATGTTATGTATAGCATGCACTTGATGTCTGATCCTTCCAGAGTTTGAATCGTGAAAAAATGAAATGAAATAGGGTTTAACGTCCTACTGTTTTGCTCTCCGACAGGGCTAATGAAGACGGGCACACACCATACAGTGTGCTATGAGGGAAAATTTTCCCGGACAGCGGCACTACGGCTTACTCTTATATCGAATCCCAACTGTCAAGGGATCTTTTACGTGCACGCCAATGTGTACACGAGACCTCGGTTTTTCGTACCATCCGAACGACTAGACAGTTGTCCTTGCCAGGCCCTCCGTCCTATACCACTGACATGGAGAAACCACGCCGGAAATTCCGATGAACTTTCTCGGCCAACACCGGGATCGAACCCACTAGGCTAGCGAGCCAGCTTCTTGCTCGTCGAGTCTACCGAATTTGAATCAAACATTTATCTCAATGTTATAGTCCCAAGAATTTAATTACGGAAATGAAATGGGGCTTAACGGCCTACTTTTCTTCGCCGACTAGGGTAAAGTCACTCTAATCTGGAAAATTATTCGTTTTCCTGGGGCCGTTTGTTCAAAGCTCCGTTAACTTTTAACGACTTGTTAACTTCGGGTTAACAGATCGTTATCTTTCAGGGAGAGAAAATCTGTTGCTGGAAGCCCCGTTAACTCGAACATGTCACTGGGTTTCCTTGTTTAACGATGGCATTAGTCTGTTGTCAATCGAAGTATACCCTTAGCAAAATGTCCTTTAAATTACCAGTGTACTTTTCTATAGAACATTCTAGAGAATTGGGGTGGGGTGGGGCTATCCCAGTTTCTCTAAGATCAAATTTATAGTATTTTACAGAATTTGGGGAGCCTGTAGGAAATAGCGGCACCAAATATGCTAAAGGTTCTGTAGTGCAAATCCTATAATTTTCCCGACAGATTTATTCTAAAAATTTTATAGGAAATATTATAGTATTCTATAGATTTTAATAGTAATTTCTGTAGTAAATTCTACAGTTATATTTTTGTCTTTAATCAAGTTTTGTGAACAGATTGCACAATGTCCAGCTGTCTTCAGTTTCATGTTAATACTAACTTCTATGAAGTTGCTCTACATGAACATTGAATTTAAAAATTTAAAATTCAGCCAAAGCACAAACAGTCCTTTAGCTAACGGATAATACAACTGACTTACCAGCAACAGAAATTTAACAGACCGTTAACAAACGACACGTTAGCAAGATAACGATCCCTAGAGTTTAACCGATTGTTAAAATAACTTAGTTTTGAACAACCTGCCCTGGACTATATTTATTGAAATCATATGTGTGTGAGAGAGAAATGAGGTTTAACGTCCACTCGATGTGTTTGCGGTCATTCCTTTAAAGTTACCGATCATTTTCTTTAACATTGCTCCTTACATTCTGATGCACGCAAAATATCTATAAATCTTTTACCACCTAATTTTATCAATACACAAAATCTGTTATACGATGTAAGCAGCAGTCATATTTCGTTAGCAATCTTTCAAAAGGTCCACATGTTTTTTGACAGCAGCAGAAGGTTCTAAGATCAGTGTAACTTCTATATCGATCAAAATGCGAACATAAACAACTGCGTGGCGAATGTGTAAATATGTATATATAAAATGTTGATGATCAAGTATTCATTTTATTGTTTTGTTGTTTACTCACTTATTTCTTTTACATATCCATATTAATTCTTGTATTTAGGAGAGAGGTTATATAGGCTATACCTGTTCCTCAATCCCTTTCAATTTCTGAATAAAATATTGTTTAAAAAAAAAACCCAAAAACGTCTACTCGACACAAACTAGGTCATTTCGGGACTAAGATATGGTTCAATTTTATTTCATTAATTCGCTTGACATATGTTTTCGATAAATAACACTTTTTTATGTGTCAACTGTCAATTACAGACTAAGTTGATTTAGTGCACACTATATATGTGAATATGTTTGAAATTACTAACTTGCCAAAGATATTAATTAATGAAATATAAAGGCATCTTATTTCAAGAGCAAAAATTCTAGCAATATTATTACATGGTTTTTTCTGGTTATTTATCAATTTGGTGTAAGACAAAATATGCATAAATAGGTTGACTAGATGTTTATTAATTTATCATTAACTTGAAAACGTGACCTGTATGTGTTATGAAACGTTGTTATTAAATAACAGAGAAGTGGTTTTATCACCCGATAATACATTCTACAGTAGATATCGCTTGCGTGATAAATGTTATAATCTACTGTGATATCTCCTTAGGAGATATCGCTTTACACGAATTTGATTAGTCAATTAAAAAGGAAATACTTTCGTTTATTTTCAAAGAATATTTCATTTTTTATTAAAAGCAACTTCTTTTCTTATTCAAAATAAACTAATTTTATTTAATTGACCTTGATGAAAACACTGGGTCAATATAAAAGACTTTGCAATGGTTGAATTGCTGTCAAAACATGATGTATCACTACACCCTAATGTAATAAGGTTCAGTAAAAGTGAAATCTATAGCAAAGAATTATATTTATTTATTTGTGCATGTAAGAGAGGATTGGGTGATAAATAAAATATCCTACTCGTCTTTTTTGATATCAAAAAATATCAACACTCGTTGATAAAGTAAAAAAAAGCCTTGTTTATTTATTTTATCGACTTGATATTCTCTATATAGGAGATTCTCTATATATCCGTACCGTATATAACTTGTGTTGTGTAATGAAACTATCCCTTGAAGTCCTTCATAGCAAACTGTTGGACGTACGTCCGTCTTCATTAGCCCAAGCGGCGAAGAAAAGTTGTATGTTAAATCCCAGTTCATGTCCTTGTTTTAAAACATTCTTTATGCAAGAACTAAATCTGCCTATTGCAGGTCTTTCTTTAGGCCTTAAATATCATATAAATTATTAATTAGACATTAATTAACTTTCCAAGACCAAGATCAACCCCCGATGTTATCGGATAGCTGCGATATAAGTAGATTTAAATACGTTTTGTAGTCGATGCAGTTACCATAAAAATGGATAATCGAGAATTTGTTTGTTATCGTAACAAAGGCAGTACTGACAATCGAGGCTAGACACTAATTGTATCGCCTATAGTAAGTAAAGTTGTTTATTTCAGTGACATGTGTTACACAAAGTAGACATAAATCAATTTAAAACACCAACACCCGGCTCAACAGACCTATATGTCACTATTTAAAGGAGCTAAATCGCTAATATTTTGGATCTAGAAATTGACACAAATGAGTCACAATGCATATAATAATGTTAGGTAAATGTATATAAACTGATTTACATTCAATCGTTTCTGTTTTTACTGCAATTTCTAATCCGTTATGTTCGGCGAAATACGCCGGAAGTCTCAATCGAAAGGCAATCTCTAGCGTCTGGTTATTCCACTCTATACCGATAGTATTTATTGCGCATGCTCTCCAGATAAGAATATGGCGTCACCGTTTGACATGACTTGTGGAATATATCTACCCTCTTTCTACGAGTCCCTTGTTAAAAATGGCGCTGAAATGCACCGTGGTACACGATTCGTGTACCAACGCTAAAATGTTTATTTTGTCTTAATTAATGGATATCAGAAGCCCATCTTTTCCCCGTAAGATCACAACATCAATGTTGATTTAAATTGACAAATAATTCGTGTTTTCAATGTCAAAGATTTTGGATGATATTGAGTTAGAGACTTAGCTACTTTAACATACACAAATTAAGTCTAATATAATAAGAATTCGTACGAATAATCAGTAAGTTAAGTATTTACAATAATTACAATATCTATTCGAGCTCTGGACATTCCTTCTAATATCAAGTGAAAAGTTTGTTTCTAGGCCTTAGGTAAGCTTGAGTCAAAAATTAGATTGTTCATGAGGTTCATGGGGTCTATTAATTGATCATTATCTTGCAATTTGTGAGAATTGTAAATCTAATATCACTTCATTAAACCAGTACTGTCTCAGATCGCTGTAGAAGGAACAGTTTAAAATAAAATGTTTTTCATCTTCTCAGAGTGACGTAATCGGACAGCAATTTTCAGCATATTCTCTTTTCATTATCAATTTTATCGAGAACTGTCAGCTCTTTATCTAAGAGGGGGGGGGGGTAGATGGCTGAATGGTTAGCGTGTGCGTGCTGTATCATAAAGTCTGTCATTGAGTCATCTAGCGTGGTTTCCATTCCCCGGTTGTGAGTGACAAGGAGTAGGGTCGCCTGTCCAACCTAGTGGGTTTTCTCCGGGTCCTCCGGTTTCCCCCCACTGCTAAACCCCTACGCGCAAGCGAATTATTGAAATGAAATTAAAACCATATGTTAGTCCCGAAATGACCTAGTTTGTGTGTGTGTGTGTGTCTCTCTGTCTCTCTCTCTCTCGTGGCTCTTTGGAGATCTCCAAAACCTGATAACAAAACTTAACCTTAGTTCTAAGAAATGGCTTTTGATAAACATTCGAAAATACCTTCATCATCACAGTCACTTGACTACTCTCGAACATGAGGGCATATTTTACGGGCCTAAATCATTCTGGAGGATTATTTAAAACAAATTTGATAAAAAAAAGAAAGTTCAACCAAATATGCATATTACAGATGTGTTTAGTTCGAACATCAATACTGTTACAGGCACGACCGGGATTTCGTTTTTTGATTCTGTGAAATGTAATAACATATCAACTTAAGGAACGTGTCAACCCTAACATCAATACCATGTGCTAACCCT